GTGGTCAATACGTCTTAACAACCCAGACGTAACCCAACTTTCACACATACACACGAATTTCTCATCAATTCAACAACAGTGCCCACAGACTAACACAATCCCGGTCATTTCTTTCCCTTTTAGCATTAAGCTTCGACTACTTAGGGCTAACGTTAAACATTCTTCTAATTGCTCTGAGTTATAACCGCGCTTGCGTACAGACATTTACACACATACATACACACACAAGAGAAATACATTCGAGTATAAGTGAATTAACCAAACCTATCTATATCCAAGTGTATCGTAGAATTTATCACGCAAGCTTTATGTAGATAATATAGGAAAAGTCTGTCAATCTTCTTGACCTAATGCTAATTTGAGTCTTTTGCAAGAATGAGTTCCAGCTCTGACGATGCTCGTCAAGTGGCATGACGAACGAAAGTTCAGCCCATCTTAGTCAGAGACGTTGGAGGATGTCTCGTAGACTGCACCAACCTGTCCATTGTATTAATGCCAAATGTCTGCAGTACAACGCGAATCAACCAACGTTTTCTGATGAGATTGACCTACTAATCTCATCATCATGTACTTCCATACGAAATGAAAGTCTTGCCAGCAATTGATGTTGAGCTGTCGGGTCATCAAACAGGTGGATATACTTCGTGATCAAGATCTACTGGCAATTGCTAAACCTACCAAATGCAAAGTATCCTAGACAATTTCGTATAAATATTATTCCATACGTTAAGGTTGCACATTTCTATTCGACACTCCTCTGATCTGACCTCTCTGCTTTTGTCTCTCCTTCATGTCAGTTCGACCTGATCGACTTTGCACGCACCAGCGTCAAGGATCACTCAATCCGCTGGTACCAGGCTTTGGACGAGCTGTCTCGCTTTCTCCTCTTCATCAACAACAGTCTCAGCTTTGTGCTCTTCATGAACGGACGCCAATTCCGCAAAGGCCTCCGTTGCCTCGTGCTGAGTGTGCGCAGATACTTGACGTCAGGTCGACGAGCCCGCTGCCGTAAAAGTTGCCGTCCAACCAGAACCATTTGCCAAAAGCAACACTGCGTCTGGCACCGAGCCACAACTCACCAAAGCATCATTCATCAAACCATGCACAGCGTCCGTAGAGTCCAGGTTCAGTCTGAAGTAAGGACGAGAAGACAACATCATATTCCTTGTCGTTGTGTTGTTAAAACAGAAAAGAGAGCAGAGGATCCGACTAAAATGGGACAAAATCCGTCTAAGCTGGGCTACAATCCAGAATTTGCACGATTCAGTCACCACTCGATCCAATTCTACCATCTTTGCC